GCGGCCACAACAGAGGGAATTGGCTTCTTGATCTTGAGTTGCAGCTGCTACAGAAGGGTGGGAAGAAACACCCAGGATCAAGCAGCGGGAGCCCATCTCCCTGCAGCAGGGAACACCCGTGCAAAAGAGCTCTGAGGAGGTGGGGTGTGGGTGGGGGGCTCAGCCTCCCTGGCTTCGCTTCCCCAGACCCTGGGAGCTCTGTGAGGCTGAGGGCGTTATCTTTAGGTTTTATCTGAGGCTCTTTGACCAGGCTCCTGCACTTCCAGCCTGGAATTATTAAGCTGCCAGCCCTGTTCTTGAGCATTAATGGGGATTGAGCGGTTGGTGCCGCTCAGTAACGTGCTCAGGCACCTCCCAGGCTGCAGTTCTGGAGCTGGGAGGTGGCTCCACGGGAGCAGCGGGGGCAGAGGGCGAGTGCTGGGCACGGGAAGGGGCTGAAGCAGGAGTCTGGGGAAACCCCCTGCCAGCCCCAGGCAGCTCCGTGGTTTGGGGAATGGTGTCCAGTGGGTCCTGGAAGAGGAAATGTTGGGATTGCTGGGCCAGATGGGATCTGGATGGGCTGGAACAAGGAGCTTCCTGCCTAGTGAGGAGCAGTGGGGTGTCCTGGCAGCGAGCTGCTCCCTGCCTGCACGAGCAGGTGCCTCCCAGGCTGCAGCAAGGTCCAAAAAATCCTTCAGTCCTGCTGGGTGTGACTCGGGACGTTGGCCCGTGTCCATATCCATGTCTGATCCTCTTTGCTTCCTCAGGATTTGCCGCTGCAGAAAGTCTGTCGGGTGCTTTACCGGCCACTTCCTTAAAAACCCTCTTCATTTCTCTCTTTGTTGGCTGTTGGTGTGAGCGCTGTGAGCGCGCTCCAGACTCCTCTGCAGGGCTCCTCTGCTGTCCTGGCACACGGCCTCCAGCTCCTGTTCTTCTCTCTTCTCTTCTCTTGTCTCTTAGCTCATGGAAATATTTTTTTTTTTCCTGGTCTCATACCCACTCTGGAACCTTCTGAATTCTTGTGTTAGACAAGATAAAGATAATCAGAGTGGAGCTGGTGCCCTGAGGAGCAGCTCTCCTCTCATCACGTGGTGGATGTGTTTGCTTTGTGCTGGAGCACGTCTGCAGCTCCAGCAGCTGCTTTGTCCTGAGCGGGGCTGTTGTCAGAGGGTGAACAGCTCTGCCCTGGGTGTTTCCTGTACTGGCTGTACTGGTTTAGAAGGTCGTGGTACAGTGTGGAGTTGTGTGTTTGCTGGAAGAAAATTTTTGTGTGTGTGTGTCTGGAGGTTTCACCCACAGGTAAGACCCTGGGGTCCTGCACTCGCTGCCCTCACCTGGTGAGATGGGGAGAGAAGCACAACAAAGGGGTCAGGGATTGAAATGAGGACAGGGAGGGCTCCCTCACCAGTGATGGTCACGGGCAAAACAGACACAGCTTGAGGAACAAAAATCAATTTAATTTGGTGCCATTCACCAGAGCAGCACAGTGAGAGACAACAACCACATCTGACAGCACCTTCCCCACCCCTCCCTGCTCCCCGGGCTCCAGTCACTTTGCTCCCCATGTCTCTACCTTCCTCCCAGGGGCACAGGGGACAGGGAATGGGGGTTCAGTCAGGTCACCTCTGCTGCTCTTCCCGTGAGATCCCTCCTGTGGGCTGCAGGAGTCCAGGAACAAAGTGTTCCAGCCCATGGAGTCATGGACCTCTTCAGGCTCAGCTCCTGGCTCCAGCATGGGGACATTCAGGGGCTGAAGACGAGTCTCTGGTCCAGCTCACATCTCACCCCACTTTGGAGGTTTCCTTGTTCATCAAATGAGCACTCAAAGTTGCAGCTGCCCTTGGGCTCACGTTCTCTGCTCCAGTGTGGAGTCCTCCATGGTCCACACAAGGGTCTCTGCTCCACCATTGAACTTCCATGGGCTGCAGGGACCTCCTTTACCTTCTCCTACTCCATGCTGTTGGACTGGGTGTCTGAGGTTCTCTGTCCTCCCCCTCCTCCTGGCAAGGATGCTCTCCTCTTTGTTTAGGCCAGTGCTCATCTTCTGTTCAGGTCAATGGTCTCTCCTCCAAGTTCTTTCCTCCTCCTTCTTTTCAAACCAGTTCTTCCCTCATCAATATGGATTCACAGAGGCGTGTCCCTGTCGCTAATTGGCTCCGCCTGGGCTGGAGGCAGGTCTGCTCTGGAGCCAGGGGAGTTTTGTGAAGCTTCTCATAGGGACCATCCATGTGGCCCTTCCCCGAGTACCAAAAATGGCCCCAGCACACACAAACCCGACACTGTGGGAGCGGGGAAGGTGCTGAGGGGGTTCAGCCCTGTGAGCTCCGCTGAAGCCATAGGGGTGGTGGCCCCAGCAGAGCTCCTGGCATTGCCAGCCACAGCCAGGGCTGCACTTGATGAACGATTGATTCTGTAGCTACCACGTTTAGCTCAGGTCTGTCCCTTCCCCCCATGGACACCCCTGTACCTGTCCCTGCTCGTGTGTTACAGCTGCTGTCTCCTGGTACGATGAGTTCCAGCGGCTCTACGACACCATCCCCTGCGTGGAAGTGCAGGCCCTGAAGGAGCACAATGACCAGGTTTTGCACCTCAGCTTCTCCCACTCTGGCTGTTTGTTTGCCTCGTGCTCCAAGGACTGTACTGTCAAGGTAAAGTGGCAACTGCCCCTGCACAACCCTTCCAGCTTTGGTTTGATGGGGCTTAGCCACGAGAGCAGCCTTCAGGAACTCCATCAGAGGAGAGGCTTGACCAGGTCCTGGGCTTAGGTTGGTTCCTGCAGATGCTGAGTTATCCTCAAAGCCACAGAACTAATGACTCCTGCAGATGTAGCCTTGAGGGTTGTGGGTTCCAGGTCCAGCCTGTGTGAGGTGGCTGAGGTACCTGCCTGGCTCTGGCTGCTTTCTAGGTGCAAATCTGTCCTGTTGTGCCGTGAGTCTAACAAAGACTGTGGAGATAATGACCTGGTCTAGAAGTTGTCTTGCATGAGTGGTTGTCTTGGGAGAAATCTCTCTGAACACACTGAAAATCCAGCTGTGACTGGTGTCCAGGTGCTGCCTGGACACCTCTCCCCTGGCTGAGGGAGAAGCAGGCCTGCGTTGAGCTGCTCTCCAAAGCTGCTGGGGGGAGTTGACAGGGAAATGAAGACTGGGAGGCAGTTAAATAGGGTCTTCAGTATTGGGTTTTGGTTAGTTTTTTTCCTTGTCCTGGTGAGTGCTGGCAGAACAGGTAAAGTGGAACCGTCCGCTCTTGAGCTTCTCAGCAGCTTTCTGACTGTTTTTCTCTCTGTCTGTAGATCTGGAGCAATGAGTTGGACATCTCCCTGCAGCACAGCTCCAACATGAGACCCTACAACTGGAGCTACACACAGTTCTCCCAGTTCAACTCCGATGACTCCCTCCTTCTGGTGTCAGGTGTCTTTGTGGGGCCTCACAACTCCTCCTCAGGAGAGATTGCCGTGATCAGCATGGGTAAGTACTGCCCTGGCCTTCGCTGGGGCTTCCCGGGCGGTGTGAAATGCTGGGTGCTGGGTTCCCTTCTTCGGGTGCGTGGTGACCTTGACCTCTGCTTGTCCTGCCTTCCACCATCCATGCCAAGGGGTCTCAATGGCAATTTCATAGGGTCAACCTTCCTGGTAGCCTTAACTCTGCTCAGGTCACCATGTCATCACCTAAAGGCGATGTGGCACATATTTATTCTCACTTAACTTCCATTCTAAGTGACAGTCTGGGCAAGGCAGAAGGTACTTGCATTACCTGTTGTCTTGAAGCCACCGTTTCTGACTCAAGTGGTGCTAATCCCACCCTGAGGTCTCACCTGGTGTTCTGAGGTGTGTTCATCTGGGTCTGCTTCACCTTTTCTGCTGCAGTTCTGTGGAACTCGCTAATCCCAACCACGTTATCTGTCACCGTCTCTGTGCTACAGTCTCACTGTGACCAAAATCAAGGAGTACTGCTAAATGCACAGCTGTGTTCCTCAGAAAGGCCCTGAGCCCCAGGGCTGGGAGTGAAGAAGTTCTGTACGTGTTTGACTTGTTCTTGTCCTTGGAGGTTCCTGCTCTGGGCCATGCTTGGAGAAAGGCTGTGAGATTAGATTGCTCTCTGGTCTGGCTCTGTCTGGCTGCCCTTGTATTTTGGTTTCCCTTGTGCCTGTCTCTCTCTCTGTGGAAGAGAGAAGATTTCTGTCTCCACAGTAGTGGCTGGAACTGGATGGTGGTTGGGCAGTGGCCACTCAGCTGGTGGTGGAGCTGCTGCATCGTCACCTCTCCTGTGGAGACTTAAATCCACTTCCCATGTCTTCTGCCACAGTTTCTCCAGAGCCCTTCTGGGACCATTGCCTCACTCTCGTGTCTTCCCTCCCTTCCAGAGAACTTCACGCTGCTGTCCAGGGTGAGGAACAAACCCTACGACGTGTTTGGCTGCTGGCTGAATGAAACCAACTTGATATCTGGCAATCTGCATCGGATCGGGCGCATCACCTCCTGCTCGGTGCTGTGGCTGAACAACGCGTTCCAGGTGAGGTGCCTTTGTTCCAGCTCCACAGGCAGAGCAGCTTCCTGCTGGCTCCTGGGGGAGGAAAAGCTGTGGAGGAGGTGTGAGTTGGGGAAGAATGGCCCAGTCCTCCTGTCCTCCCTGTTCCTCTCCTCTGACTTGCCCTCAGGAGCTTGAGCTTGAGGCAAGCCTTGCCTGAGGCTTCTCCCTGCTTGGTGTCGTGGTACCTATTGCAGTATTACAGCTCTACCCTCGGATTCTATTAGCTCTTGCCCCATTAATTGGGATGAGGACTCGATCAGAGTGCCCTAGAGCATGTCAGGAGAGTGGTTGGATCACCACAGGATTGCTGAGGTCCTTGATAGTATGAAGCTGGGCCTGGGGCAGCTGTGTTCTGATACGTGTCTGAGCAATGGCTGTTCTCCCACTTGGCAGCTCGGTGCTGTGTTTCTGGGGGCTGGAGGCAGCTGAGAAGCTGAGCTGAGCTCTGCCTCTGTGTGCTGACATTGCTGTGGGCCAGGTGCTGTCTCTGATGCTTTGATGAGACTTGGAGATTGGTGTGTGCTGGCCTTAGACTGCTTGTTTGCTGCTTTGGCACTTGTGCTGCTGGGACATGTTCCTCTTCCATGTTTTGCCTCTTGTCTCAACATCCCAGCTGCACATCCTGGTGTTTTGTGGTTTTTTAACATGAATGATTGATATTGACCCTGAGTGAAATCCTCTGGTAGCAGAGACCCTTCCTGTCACCACATCTCTGTGCTGCACTGACACCACAGCATTAACTCTTCCATCTTCAAGAGGTGAGGCAGAACCCTGCCCACTTTAGGGGGGTGTTGACACGCAGCTGCGGACTGCCAGAGCAGTTGGGCAGGAAGAGACCTGCTGCTTGTGTCTGGGGGCAGATTACCAGGCTGGCCCTGCTCCAGGAGCATGGAGATCCTCTGTTGCTTGTAGGCCAGAGGGGTGGCACTTTGTGCTGCACCTGTGTTTATCACAGAGGTCTGTTCCTGGAATTCTTGTAAAGTGCTGGGCAGCAGCAGCCAATGCCCTCGGGCTGGGGGTGGCAGCAAGGCTGCCCAGTCTCTGTGTTGCCCAGCTCCGCTGTTGTCTGCCTGCAGGAGGAGGTTTTTGTCTCGCTGTGCCCCCCTCCAAGATAGGAAGGAGAGCAGCAGAGCTGCCCAGCCTCTTGGGCCAGGTCTGGTGGTCAGTGGTCCATGTAGCCACGTGAAGAGAGATCAGTGTGGGGCTGGTGTCTGCTGTGCCGGCTCAAGGTCTGGGCAGGAGGCTCTTGGTTTGAGCTGTGGGAGTGATGTGAGGTGGTTCCTGCTTACCTCTCCCTTCTGCTTGCAGGGCATAGAGTCTGAGAATGTGAATGTAGTGAAGAGACTGTTCAAAATCCAGAACCTGAACGCCAGCACGATCCGGACCGTGATGGTGGCTGACTGCAGCCGGTATGATTCCCCGGACCTGCTCCTGGACTACGAGGAGCAGCTGGCTGCTTCCTCCACCTCCACCTGCCCAGTCTTTGATCTTGGCAGTGACAGTGAGGAAGAGGAGGCCAAGCCCAAGCAGACTCCGGAGCCAGCAGTACAGGAATTGCCGGATGAGGGGGGTGTGACAGCAGAGGATGGGTTGCAGCAGTTCTTTGATGATATCATGGAGGGCCGTGTGCGGCCGGCAATGACCGAGACAGAGCTGGAGACAAAGGTGGCTGAGCTGTTTGTACGCAACAGAACTAAACCACCTGAGCTGAACCTGCTCTCCACCGACAGCAACAGCAAGACAAAGTACTTAATCTTCACCACAGGATGCCTCACCTACTCTCCTCACCAGATAGGTAAGGCTGTGGTCTGAGCCTGGGGCACACCAGCCTCCCCCGGGGGGTGTGGGCTGCAGCTAGGCTCTGAATTTGCATCTGGAACAGACCAGTTTGATGTGCTGCCTGTTTGTGGTGTGAGCGAGCTGCAGTTTTGCTCAGGCTGCTGGATTCTTGATGCGGGAGGCTTTTGAGATGTCTGCAGTCACTGCAGGGGGTTCCACCCCACAAGTGTTTGCCTGAGGGTTGCTTTGTTGCTACCAGGCTTGACACGTTGGCCAGACAAGAAAGTTGTGGTGAGGGCTGAGCAGAAGATCAAGAAGGAGCTACCGACGGAGGGACATCAGCCATGAGTTGTGCACAAGCGGGTGGAGGTGAAGGGCGGTGACTGCCCCGAGAGGGGCGTGTGGAAGGGCCTCGGTCCTGTTGTTTGGGGTGCAGAGGGCATCAGAGTGGGACTGCTTTGAGCAGCTTGGAGTTCACGTGTGCGTTGCTTGCACGGTGCCCCTGAGCTCTGGGAGCCTGAGCCCTGCCTGCCCCACTGCCTGGCGTGTGCTCACCGCACATCGTGTGGCCTCTCAGCCAGGCACTTGGGCACCCCTGGTTTGGTGCTGAAGAGGCTTCACGGTGGGTTACTAACTGCTTCAGTGGGTGTTTCCATGACAAGCTGATGCCAGGCAGCTTGCTGACTCTCAGCCCCCTTCTTCTGTGGGACACAAGGGACTGTAGTGGCAGCACAAGCCAGGCAGTGGCACTGCTGGTGACCTTTTCCTGGGTGAGGACTTCCCTTGCTCATCGGGGGCTCTCTCGTTGAGTCACTGGGACCAGCAGAGTCTGAATTTATAGGAAAGCAGTGCAGTGACGAGCAGAGGCAGTCTACCAGTCTGGCTGCTTCTCCAGAAGCCCTTAAAGCTAGCAGAGAAGTTCAGTGGGAAGGGCCAGACATCAGTAGAAATGAGGGGAGGGAAGGAGAGCTGCTTCCCAGCCAGGAGACTCTTCTGTAAAGCCCGACAGTTTCAGTTCCTTTTGCTGCTCACACGATTCCAGCCTTGCTTTCTTGCTGCGGGCTCTTCTGACCTTCCTGTTACTTGGTCCTGCACCAGTACAGCCCAGTAAGGCAGGGAAAGGCAATTTCCAAAGCTGTAGGCAACTTGGAGAAGAGTCACTTAGTCTTTGCCCACCTAAGTTAGGGATGTGACCTGGATTGAGTGTAGCTCTGCTCCGTGCTCCTGTCCTTGGCTGGGTCTGCAGACAGAACTGGCCCTTGGCCGCTGTCCGGACGCGTGGCGGGTTCTGTGCCCCGTTAGCAGCGCTGCATCTCGACCTGCTGGGCTGAGCCAGCGCTGCCTCAGACCTGCAGCACGTGAGGCAAAGCCTGGGGCAGAGGCAGCACCTGCCTTTGGACTCTGCCGGCTCCCAGCGCCGGGGCTCTGGCTGCCTTTGAACTCCAGGGACTCCCTGGCTGGTGGCCAGTGCCTGTGGCACAGACCGGCTTGTTCAGAGGGACAAACCCTGGCTCAGCCCCTCTCCCAGCCATGACTCACTGCAAAATGTTGTGTCTGATGTGTCTGCCCATCGGTTTGCGGGTCCAGCCGGCCTTTGTGCATCTGCTCCCGGCCCCCACCGAGCTGGTACTGACAGAGCTCACCGCTGTGCTCCGCTCTGGCCAGGCTGCTGGTGGGAACCGTGTGCCCGGCTGCTGGGCATCGGCGCTGTCTCGCCTGATCTGCAGCACACGGGCCCTTCTGCTGGAGCTTCCTTTGAGCTCCTGTCTACCTCGTGCTGGTGACAAGCTGGAGTCATGGGCAAAGCCGCCTGTTCTGCTGGCTTGTGTGTGCGCGGACCACATCGGTGAGAGCTTAGTGCTGCAGAAATGAGTCAGCAAGTGCTGGTCAGCAATGTCAGTTGGGTGGAAGAGTGAAGGTCCTGAGCTGCCCAAGTTCTGTCCAGCTCTGCTCTGCACTGGTGGGACCTCACCTCCAGTACTGGGGGCAGTTTGGGCACCACAGGAGAGGGGTATGAGGAGAGGCTGCAGTCACTTGGTTTGTTCAGCCTGGAGAAGAGGAGACTGAGAGGAGATCTCATGTCACAGGACCCCAAAAGACATAACAACTGGCACGCAGTAACTACCTGTGACCCATATCTATCTAACCTTTAAAGGCACCAAGCCTGACAAGATTCCAGCAGCATTTGGCCAAGGCTCTCAGGGACATGGTGTGAATGTTGGGATTGTCCTGTGCAGGGACAGGAGTTGGACTGGATGATCCTTGTGGGTCCAACTCACAACATTCGATGATTCTGTGAAGTTGTGAAGGGTCTTGGACTGGAGGTGCAGTGTGGTGTCACCCCGACCTTGTTGTCTGTGGGAAGGGGCTGAAATCCAGGGTGTTTGGCAGCGATTCCCTCGGAGAGGTGATGGGATGGTCCATCTCCCACTCCTCTTAGACCTGCTGCGGATGAAGCTCACGTGTGCGCCGGGGCTGCTGAGACTCACAGGAATCCTCCAGGAAGCTCTTGGGGATGGTTGGTGTTCGGGACCTCTGTCCAGAGCTGGAAGGGGAGAGAGCTTGACCCATAGCATGTGTCTCCTTTAGTCAGGGAGTTCTAAAGCTGTGAAGCACTTGAGTCCAGTTTGGGTTTAAACTCCTGTTCTTGGAGCTTTCTGAGGAAGATCCACACCAATGCTTGACAGTGGCAGGGAAAACCCTGCTACAGCCAACATGTGCTGGGCCTTCTCCAGGCTGGATATTGCAGGAAACAGGCCCAGCCCAAGGATTCACTGAGGAGGAAAACCTTTGTGTTCCAGGCCAGCGCAGCTTCCTTGTGCTCCAGAGCACTCTGGGGGCCCGGGCTGGGCTCGGGCTGAGGTGTGGCTGCACCAACCGGGCGCTGGGCATCTCCCTGGCAGGGACTGAAGGTGCCAGCACGTCACTTACGGGCAGTGTCCTGGCCCAAAGCACCACGTGTGGGAGCGTGAAGCTGCCTTGCAGGGACAGCAGCCCTGGCTCTAGCGAGACACTTCTCCTTTCCCAGCAGGGGAACTGAGGGAAGCCCCTTCTTGAAACCCAGGGACTTCCACCTGGCGCCAGCCTGCACAGCCACCTGATCCTGCTCTCTGTCCCCAAGGGATTAAAAGGATCCTGCCCCATCAGATGACGACTGCTGGGCCGGTGCTCGGGGAGGAGAGGCGCTCGGATGAGTTCTTTGACTCCTTGGATCACGTCATTGACATCCACGGGCACATCATCGGCATGGGCCTCTCCCCTGACCACAGGTGAGCGTGGTGGGGTGGCAGCGCTGGCTTCAGACCCTGCAGGGGTGGGGGGACAGCTGCCTGGGGGCTTTTGGGGGGTGAGCAGGAGCAGAAGTGACCGCAGAGGGTGGCACAGGGTGTCTGCATGGGGCACTTACTCGTTCATGTCCCATTTATGTCCTGGTGCTGGTGGCACGGGTACGGCTGAGCATCTCCCCAGGTGCGCCCGGGGCAGGACGGGGTCGGGTGAAGGAGCCACTCACAGCAGCGGGTCCTGTTCCTGGGGCAGATCCCCACTGTCCTTAAAGTTGGTTTTCATGGGATTAAAGAGGGTTGACCTAAGCCCCCAGCACCCACCAACCCAATGGCAGTGGCTGTTTCCTTTCCAAATGGGGCAGAAAGTGGTTCAGCACCGTGTTCCCGTGTCTCAGCCTGGATTTTAGTGAGTGTGGTGGTTTCACTGGGCTGGCAGCTCAACACAGCTGCTCGCTCACTCTTCCCTCCCTGCCCCAGGGAGCAGGGGAGAGAATTGGAAGGGTAAAAGTGAGAAAACTTGTGGGTTGTGATTAAAAACAATTTACTAATTGAAATAAAACAATATGAATAACAGTAATAACAATATGCAAATGAGTCATGCCCAGTGCAGTTGCTCACCACCCACTGACCGATGCCCAGCCTGTCCCCAGCCAGTGACCCTGGAACAGAGACAGTCCCCAGACCCAAACTGCAGTCCTGGGAGAGCGAGAGCCCGAGTGATCCCTGAGAGAATCCCCAGCTTTCCAGTCAGCCCTGGTTAATCTACTGACCATGACATGATAGGAGATGGAATATCTCATTGGCAGAGCTGAATGCCAGTTTGGGTTTTGCTAACTACTGTGCTCCCCCCCTCAGTCCTTTGCACTTGCAGACTGGCAAAACACGATGTCCTTGGACTTCCAGCAGCAACTAAAAACATCAGTATGTTACCAACATTCTTCTCATACCAAATCCCACAGTGAAACCAAACCACAGCTATTGTAGCTACCGAGAAGGAAATTAACTCTGTCCTAGTGAAACCAGGACAGTGAGCAGAGCCGCAAGTTTGCGAGGGCCCAGAGAAACTGCTCGGTCCCTGCCCTGCCCGTGCTGCGCGTTTACCGTGGGCTCCGTGAGCTGCCCCACACGCATTGAGGTGCGGGGTAACCCCTCTGCTCCCCTCCCCAAGGTACTTGTACGTGAACAGCCGTGCCTGGCCCCGGGACTGCGTCATCTCCGACCCGATGCAGCCGCCCCCCATCGCCGAGGAGATCGATCTGCACGTGTTCGACCTGAAGACAATGAAGGAGGTGAAACGAGCCCTCCGGGCGCACCGGGCCTACACGCCCAACGAGGAGTGCTTCTTCATCTTCCTGGATGTCAGCAGGGACTTCGTAGCAAGGTGTGAGAATCATAGAATCATAGAATGGTTTGGGTTGGAAGGGGCCTTAAAGCTCATCCAGTCCCAACCCCCCTGCCAGCAGCAGGGACACCTTCCACTAGACCAGGTTGCTCAAAGCCTCATCCAACCTGGCCTTCAACACTTCCAGGGAGGAGCAGCCACAGCTTCTCTGGCCAACCTGGGACACTGGCTCACCACCCTCTGGGTGAAAAATTTCCTCCTAATATCTGACCTAAATCTCCCCTCTCTCAGTTTAAAACCATCTCCCCGTGTCCCATCACTCTCTGCCTGTGTCAAAAGTCACTCTCCTCCTGTTTCTAAGCTCCCTTCAGGCACTGGAAGGCTGCAATGAGGTCTCCCCAGAGCCTTCTCTTTTCCAGGCTAAACTTGCCCCTTTATAAGGAGTGTGATGTTTCTGGTGTGGGATGCCCCTGTTCCTCAGCTTGGGGCAACTGGGTGGTGGGGCTGCTGATGGAGGTCGGGGTCTCTGGCCAGGCTGGGGCACCCTCTGCCTCTGTCTGCGCAGAACGAAGGGGGTCGGGAGGCAGATCACCGAGTGGTGATGGGGTGATGTCCTGACTGGTGTCTTGTCCCCTGCAGCGGGGCAGAGGATCGCCACGGCTACATCTGGGACCGGCACTATAACATCTGCCTGGCCAAACTGCAGCACGACAACGTGGTCAACTCGGTGGCGTTCAGCCCGGTGGAGCAGGAGCTGCTCCTGACAGCCAGCGATGACACCACCATCAAGGTGTGGCGTTCCCCTCGCACCGTGCGCGTCCAACAGGCCAGGAAGCCCAGGCCCAGGAAACTGCTCTTCTCCTGGCTCATGAACCAGAAGAGCTGAACCCAGGTGCACCTGCTCCTGCAGCTTCCTCACTGCAGCCACCTCCTCTGGAGCTTGCAGAGCTTTGAGCCCTGCACAGCAGAGACGAGCTCTGGGCACGCAAATCCCACCCGCCGAGTCAGGAGGGACCCCGGCAGCAGGAACCGCTTCCTCCTCGGAGCATCCGCTCCAAAGACAGAACGTAAGAGCCCAGGGCCTGTTCCTGGGACTGGTGGGCAGCACAGGGTGGGCTCCTCACAGCTTCTCACGACCGCTGCTACTTGGTCACAGCTCTGTCTGGGTGAGCTTTGGTCTCTGAGAACAGGCAGAGGCACGTCTCCAGCATTGGTACTGTGTGAGCCTGGGACGTGACCTCGCTGAGAGCTCCTGGCTGCAGAGCACTCGGCAGAAGCCGGGGTACAGCGCTGCCTCACTGCAGGACTCTTTTAATATCGTAGTTTTATTAATGTTTGTTTGTCCCAAACCTCCACAGGCAACTCATCTGGCTACTGGGTATCCCGAGTGCCTCCTCCCATGCCAGGGCTTGGCCCCGGAGGGCAACAGGGACCGGAGGGCAGAGGGGGAGGCAGGGCTGGGGAGCCCTGGCTGGTGTTTTGGGTGGCCCCCGGGGACACAGCCAGTGTCCCCATCGATGCCTTTCCATTAGCAACTGTCTGTTGGCATCGCCAGTTTCCAAACATGAGGGTGAGGAGGGTCTGGTGGTTCCATGGTGCTGGCTTTGCCTCTGTCCCTCAGCTCAGCAGCACTGAGTAAGCTCTGGCATTGGTAACGTATTTATTCCAGGGGATCTGCTGTCCCTTCCTGCGGGGACAGCCGTGAGGACGGCTGATGGGTCTTGTGGTCACATCCCTCCCACACCACTCAAGTTGTGGCATTTTAGGTTCTCTTGGTGTGTTCTCCCTGAATAGGTGCAGGCACCCGCGGGAGGCTGTTGCTGTTCACCCCCAGGTGACCGGGGGGACACAGCCGTCCTCTGCCTGAAGTGACAGTTGAATAAGCTTCCTCCCACCTGGGCTGACTTGCTGGGGGTTGGGTGATCAGCTCTTCCCGGGGCCCCTCTGATGTGGAGCTGCCTCACTCAAAGTGATTACAAACTCAGTGGCGTTTGTTCTCTTCTCTTCTCCCTGTAGCTTTTCTCCCTGCAGCTGGTACCCAAATTAGACTCTTACAAGTCTAAAATGAAGCTCCTAATCCTGACTTGGCCGCAGGAGCTGCAGACGCTCCTGGGTGCTGGGCTCTTGGCTGCATCTGGGAGGGAGCCGGGTCCCAGGCAGGGGCTGGGGGAAGCGTTTTGGGGCTGCAGTGGGAGCACTGGGGACAGTTGTCTGTGCCACTCACAGCCTTGGGCTGCAAATAGACCTAGAGGCGGCAGCAGACGCTGTCTTGATGAGCACTGATGGCTTTAACAGCTCCTGCAGCCCTGGGCAGGGGGGTTTGCACCTTCCTTCTGCTCTGCCCCAGCAGGTGCCCGTGGCTTTATCCAAAACCCCTGTACTCAGGTTTTCTGTCATTATTGGCCTTCCAAAAACAAGGGCATCCTTTGTGTGTGTGCACACAGGGTCCACATCCAGCTCTGTCCAGTCACACAGCAAAGGAACAGGCTCTACACCCTCCTTCCCCAAGACTGTGAAATCTGTTCTCCCTTGGCTTGGGGTAGGAGTGAGCAAGGCACTGAGGGTTTATGTTTGTACCGAGTTTTGCTCTTCACTATGGCATTGAATAAATATTCCGCTCAAGCATCTCTGCAATGTGAATTTGTTTTTGATTGCTGCTCTGGTGAAGCTGAACTGAAGCCAGAACTCTCATTCTGCTGTGCCTGCATCTGCTGGGGCACTGCAGGAGCAGCTGCCCAACTTCTAGTGACCTGCCCTGGGCTGTAAAACAAGAGGAGAAGGGGAGAGAGGCAGAGAATTGCCCAAATCTTCTTTGCCCTCAGGGAGGCGGACGGGACAACCCTGGGGAAGCTTTTTCTCTGCCAAGGCCAAGTGTTGCAGGCTCCAGACCAGCCAGGGGCTGGAACGTCCCGGCTTCTCTGCCCCTCCTTGGATTCTAGTTTTCTCAAGAGCAGGTAAGTGGGGAGCAAGCTCGGGGCCTGGCCCTGTGCTGCAGCAGCCTTGGGACCTGCAACTCCAGTGTCCCCTGCGCCTCTGTCCTCTTCCTCGGTGCCTCATGGAGCAGCTGCACTGGTATGAAGTGGCTCTGGCTGCTCCCTGGAGGGGACAGGCCCCTTGGCAGGGGTGTACCCCTCATTTTTGTCTCTGCTCCCCAGCATGGGTTCAGTCCCTGGGCTGGTGTTGCAGGTCTGGAGGGGCAGCAGGAGCAGCACAGGCACTTGGCTCCCCACAGCGGGAAAAACCAGCCTGTCGTGGAGGGGCTGAGCAGCTGCTTTATTACCCAGCACCCCGGAATGTCAGTGTAATGTTGGATTTGCCTTTCCAGTTGCTCTTCCACTCCCCTCTGCTGCTGGGGCAGAGCTGGCCCAGCACTGCTGTGCCTGTTCCCAACAGCCCTGTCACCCCCCCTGGACCTGGCTGGGGCCAGGTCACCCACCGAGGAGCTCCTGCCCTGCCTGCTCCAGCCCCCTCTTGGTGGGAAGCTGCAGCGCTGGTGCAGGGCAGCACAAAGAGCCCCCAGCCCAGAAATCAGCCCCCACCCCAAGGTGATCCTGGCCCTGCTCCTCTTCCACCCCTGGCACTGCAGGAGCCCAGCGTCCCAGGGTTTGTACAACAACCATACTACATCCTCAAGGGGAAACACTTCCCAGTGCCCGGCTGAGATGGGTGTTCTCTGATAGCTGTGGGCAAAAGGGAAGAAAAAAATATATTAAAAAAAAATAATCCAG